TATTATTATATATATATATATATATATATATATATATATATATCTTTGTATTTACTAAAATTTTAAAACTTAAAAATTGAAATAAAAAGTTATGGTATATTTTAAAGGTCAAATCCATCAATGATCCCCTAAAGTTGGCATCAAGTTTTTAAAATTATTCTCCTACTTCATTGAAGATTCTTTGAATTATTGATTCAAAATTTTGAGAAGATACATCATATTGATTCTTTCAATTTAGTATTTCTACTAGATACATAAAATAAGAAAGTTTTGCCCATAAAATTTTAGCTTTGAGTTGATACAATATTGTTTGGTAATAATTATGTATCATATACATTTAGTATGAAATTCGAATTTACATATCATGGCTAAAAAGTTAGTGCATTAGGTTGATGTTAGTGTGCACGCACGTGATATACGTTTTACGTAAATTTTTTCTTGATAGAAGCTAACTTAAGAGAAACACTAAAAATAAGTCAAACACCCTTTTATCCCTTATATTACAGCGATCTAGATAGTGTTAGATAGAGGTGAATTCAAAATTTAGAGTTAGTAACTAAGTTCGCCTTAGTACATATAACGTGAGTATTATTTAGGTAAAAAACTACTCAAAATACCTTTTGTATTTGCAAATGTAAAAATATAGCAACAGAATACTACTTGGCTAAGATGAGATGCAAGCATGTAATTTATCAGGTGCACAAAATAAATATTATATTTAAATTAATAATAGGATACGATTATAATAAAGATCAAAACAAGGTGTTAAATCATAGTTACTTACCTTAATAAAGAAAAATTAGAGTTGAAAGTAGACTTATATTTATTATTTCCTTATTAAATAACTAATTGCTCAACGATTTGAAAAAAATAATCTAATAATTAACATAATCACAACTCTTTCCTAAAAAAAGTTTCCATAAATATTTTTGGTTATAGAAATTAGAAATTAGAAACCGTGTAAATAATAAAAACAAAAGTTTGTATAAAATGTAGAAAAAGTTTCCTAAAATTTATGTATGCAGCGTCTTTCTGAAAACCTCCGTATAAATTGCTACCATGCTTTCTTCTTTTCATTCATTCTTATAGTTTTGAGAAAGAAAAAAAAAGAGTGTATAATGGAGAATTTGC